CCCTACCTGAAACCTACTGAATCCAAATCTCTGAAGGTAAAGTCCAGTAATTTATTTTTCTAAAACTTCCTAGGTAATTCTTGTGAAGCCAGCCAGATACTTTCAAGAAGATTAATTGGACCATTGAACTTTGTCATTTCTTAGTAAGGACGGAATAGCAATGAGGTTCTTGACTGAAGCTGTGATCTGGTCGTATTAGAAATAAAAGACACAAACTTGACATCTCTACCATCCCAAGTCCTCCCAAATGCATTACTCCTTAATCATGTAACATCTACATTCAACAAACACATACACACAAACTAAGAATATTCATTACTTTATAAAGCTAGTTTACAGCATGAGATTATTTGTGATTATCCCTGTGTTACAAACATATCAATGACTATATTATTTGTTTAACTTTGCTTTCATGAAGTGTAAAAAGAAACAAAGGGACAAAAAAGTATCAGGACAGTTAATACTTAGTTTTCAATTGTTTGAAACAAGTGTGAGGAAGGAATTTTGCACACTATCTCAATATTCTCTGACAAGATTATGTTAATCTGTATATTTGACATCATTGGATGCTTTACATTCACCACCACAAGGATCCTGAAATTGACCCACAGGTAGGCTCAATGTGCTCATTTAACAATAAATATTTTTCATCATGTTAACACAATTGATGTACACTTTAAATCAGTTGGTTGTGGATTAGGTATATTCATATCAAAAGCTGCCCATAAAACCATCATTTGGACTAGACTGTGTTATATTTTAATAAGTCAATCCTTCTTGCATCAGGATTTGGGGGCTATTTCTAACAGGATATGCCCATAGAATCCTCTGAAATGACAAAATTTTAGTAGTTGGAGTTCTATAATAATAGAAATAACTAAGCTATGATATGAGGCTTGGAGTTGAGTTTCTATGTTTTGTTAGCTAGAGGCATCTGGTGATGCCCAAAGCATATTCAGAGTCATGTATAATTAATGACAAAGGAACATTCAGAGAAGCTGCATAAAGTGCTTGGAGTCAGATTGTATCTTGAAGAAAGAGCAGAGGAGAAATTGCAGATGTAAGCAGTGCCCCTGCATATTGATAAAGGGTAGTCATTGTTACTCAGACCTGGCACCAGGTGGCTTCATCTACCTGAATCAAGCATCAGCAACTCTTTCTGTGGTCACATCAGGTTCAAAAGTGGGGAGAGACAATGGTGTTTGGTACACTCAGGCTTGAGGGGGTGAGATTGTTTCTCGTGATGGTATGATGTAAGAGAGGCTCAGGGGTAGGCTTGGTCTTACAAAAAATGCACAAGAAGAAACCTATTTATAGAATTTTTACTTTCTACCCTAATCATCCACAACACTTGCCTGCAGTAAGTCAGGAACCCAAGGAGCCTGCAACAAATATATTCAATGATGGTCATAATCCTGAGCTTCCCCCTGATACTTCACAACTTCAGCACACTATTTTGGTTGGCAGCAATACAATTTTGTACAAAACACAATGGTTGTGGTTTTCCAAATTCTCTGCGGGTTTTTTGTCTATCAATTTATTTTTGCTGCATGTTGGAACACTCTGGAGGAATTTACAAACTTGAAAGTCGTGCTGCACTTATGAATGAGATCTTGTTTGTTATCATCTTATTCTGCTTTGTTTTATTCTGGAAAGGCATACACTTTCACACTGTCCTGACACCATTGTCACTGGAGGAAAGGAGGAAGTGTGAGACTATGAGAACTAGCATTTGAAGTGCTGAATCCATACACCCATTCCCCAATCTCAGGCGCCAGCAACTGTCTCAGAGTCACAGTAGGTCACAGCTCACTGGACTTCACACATAATAAGGTATTAAAAGGGAATCCCAAAATAATTTAAAATATAACAGAAAAGATGAATATAGAGGCAGATTTTATAAAGTTGAGTCATGTCACACAGTAAAAAGACCCAATTGATGTGTTTCTGAGGCCATATTACCCTTTTATTATGGCTGATGTTACCTGATTATTAAGGTTCACAAAGCAGACACTGTGCAGTAAGTTCTGAGTAAATATGTGGGGATTTTGATTTCTTTTAATTATTGATTTATTTGTAAAGATCGACATTCTCTCCATTCTCTCCACACTAATGCCAGTGTGAAACCTTGATACTGATGGGTAGTTGAAAAGGGCCTTCTCTAAATCAGCTGTTTTTAAAAATATTAAAACAGGGAAGCTTACAGGTGCCAGGTTATATTTTAATATTCCTTCTGGAATGAGTTAAATGCATTACATGAACTTAAGATCACTTGGCTTCTAAGTGGACATCACTTAAACTCCTTTTAATTTGCCACACTAAAATGCATGATGCTTCTAACAGTTTGTAAGTAAATGAGACTACTATAACAATATTAGACGAAAAAAAATGCCATCACTTGTTATAGTCACATTTCCCAAGGCAGGGGATGTGGACTGCATTTTGCAGGATGAATAAAAATAAATGCTTTTTTTCACAGCTAGAATGAAGAGACATTTTACATAGTACCTTGCAAATATATGTAGTAACAGTGTAACTGTAATAGTCTAATGTACTGTAATAGGTTGGCAAATGATAACAGATTAGACCTTGCCTCAGACTATCTCCAAAAATATATTTAGATTATAGAGTATGAAAAATGTGGTTTACATTCTGTCTGCAATATATAATAGATCTCTGGCATGTTCTTCAATGTGACATTTGTGACAGTATAAATGGCTACTTCTCTATGTAAAATCATATAAACTAATACAGAGTTTGTGATTCTTCTGACAAATTGAGAGTATATACAAAAATTCTTCTCTTGAGCCCTATCTATCACCAGTTCCCAGATAATGGAGTTGATTTTCAATGAATGCTTTTAAAATATAGATATTTCCTATAGATATTCTTAAGTACAGAGAGAATAACCATGTGTTTAGAATAGTCACTTAGACAAATCTTTACAAAAAGCAGATTGAATGATTCCTGGAAGTCTTTTTCAGCCTTATGGTTACAAAACACATTGTTTATCACCAGGACATTTATTGATGAAATATATCATAATAAGCTCTAAACTACCACACAGAGTAAGCAAAAATGACAGTGAGCTTGGCTCTCTCCCATACACCTGGGCTTTAAGAAGCCCCTGAGTACAGCTCAGGCATTTTCTAATATTGCCACGAGAACTGAGGTGCTTTCAGCCTGTTCTGCCCATGCTGGCTGTAAACTACTCATTGTCCCCTGTGAAGGAAGTGGGTTAATATCCCAGTCCCTTGAAGCAAACCTTTGTGAATTGTCCTCATGAGAATACCTTGAACCTCTCTCTCAAGGGGTTTAAAAGTGAAAGCTAGGCCCAGGGAAGAATGGGGCACGCAAGAGTTTAGAGAGATCAATGTCCGCGTCTTGGATTCTCCACATGAAGAGTGCTGCACTAATGTTCTTGTGGATCCCCAGGTGAGAACAGAGTTCAAATTATAAAAGGGGTCACAGTTATAACAAATAGTTGGCACATGTATAAATGTTTTCTTGTTGACACAGAGAACTTAAAAACATTAATTAAGTCTCACAGATTACATTGGAAATTAGTTAACATAGACCTTAGCTGAGTTATGTCACAACTGAATCATAATGCAGCTCAAATCCCTGAACAGAGAAGAATACATTGCATTCAGTAGACGTAATCTACCAATGACTACACCTGTTGGAGTAAGAAAACATTCTCTCCAAGGTTTCAAGGAAGCAAATGCTTCTAGCTCATTCACCTCAATAGAAATTTAGGTTTCATAGCTGATTCAAAATAGGAAAACTCTGACACACTGTGCTCCTAATATCAGTGTGCGCTATAATAATATTTTCATGCAAAGTTGATTACTGGGAACAAGTCTTCATTTTAGCAGAACATGCGAGGGAAACCTGTTGTAACAATGGTGATCATGAGTTCTAAAGATTAGACCTACTTTAATGTTCATGAAGATGATTCCATGAAATTAAAACCACATTGAGCAAACTGCAGAAGAACATTTTTGAAAAATCCCAAAGCCATAAAATACATGGTTTTCTTGCTTTGTGTTATGCAATAAGAAACAGCATTCTTGGAAAAATGGCAAAATGTCCTGACACTTCTTTGTCAGTAATGCCAGTGTCCAGGAATGTGCTTCTGAGAGTGGCAGTCAGCTTAGGAAATATCAACTGAGGAAGGGGAGAGAAGTTATTCACATATCATTTAGTAGGATGCTGTTTATTAGAATGCAGATTAATGTTGAAAAAACTACCCATATACATAAGTGCTAAGTTGAAAAGGGTCCAATGTAACAAAGCATTTGTTTTTAGCTGATATGTATTAGAAAATGGCAAAAGACCTTAATCTTAGTTACAGATACATCTGCGACTAATAAATTCCATTTCCTCTGGACTCCATGCTCCATAAGTTAAGTCTGAAAGATATATTTACTAAGCAGACATACAATGCTTTCTCAGTATCTGAGATCCTTGGTTATATGTATTCTCAGTCCAAGCACTAATCTCTCTAGATAAGTGAAACTATATTAGATTAGTAGGTTAGTATAATGTACCATCAATACAGTAACAGATTCCAAAAATCTAATAATGTCGTGTGAAATGTAATTATCTAGAAGAAGAGATATGTATAAAAATAGGTAATATCCCTAAAATATTTTGCTGAGTTACAATTCTTCCTGCTGGGAAGTTTACCACACTACCATGATATATGTATGAAATGTCTGTTCAGAAAAAGAAAATTAGAAAATATTCCTCACCTGCCAATTCACTAAATATAGGAATATATACTCAAAATTGGCTCTCAAAAATGGCACAAACATATACGGGAAGATACCTATATGCATGACAAACAAGAAAACATGGAGTCTATTTATTGGTTAGTTTTTAAAAGGGCCCATACTCATAATTTATATATATATATATATATATATATATATATATATATATATATATATATATAAAATCAAAAACACTCATGTGGATGGACATATCTGGTTTCCCCTCGCCCTCTAGCTTTTCAAGGATTATTGCCTGACATAATACAGAAATTCTGCTGCTTGTCCTCAGCAAAGCATTGAGAGAGGAACCACCTCTTTCCACTCTCCATAGTGATCCATGTTCTGGGCTTGTGCTTTTTGAAGGAGTCTTTGATCTGCAGCAGGTCTCAGAGGCTCGTCTCCCGGAGGAACATGGTGCCAATGTTGTAGGAAACCTTTTTTATTCTCGATGAAGAAAGAGAAGGCTTTGGCTGCTTTGGACCAGTCCTTACCTCCAGGAAATAGCAGATCCCAGGAATTTCTTTTGGGAAGTTGTCTGGAAGCTCTTCACGGGACCGAGGGATGAATGTAAAACTTTCTTCTCGTTTTAATAATCTAAGAAGAAAATATAGGTAACATGGATCAAATAGAAAGGGAAATGTGAATTAAAAAAATTCTGAAGGCTGAGAAAGCCTATCCATGACTGTGCACACACAAACACCTCTATTGACCTCCATAGGACTGTAGCTATGAAATGCTGACTCAAGAAAGACCCTTTCATGTTATAATGATGATGATGATAAGAAGAAGAACTGCTCAAAATATTTTACTCCTTAAAATATTTATCTTATTTCTCACTGAACAGCAGCCCTTGAAAAATATTTGTTCATATTTGATTTTTTCCCTAAACAAAGGGCTAAGAAAACTGCATAATAAGAAAACTGTATAATACAGGTTTTGTTTTAAACAGGCAGGATTTACTTGTCTGGTTTATAAACCTGCCTAAATTCTACAGCTTTCCTTTTATGTTTTGTAGACTCTCAATAAACTTTAAACATATGTTCTTTATGTCAAACATGAAATATTTATATTTGCAGAACATTTTGTGTCTCTAAGTGTCTGTGATATCTGGTTACTGACATCTATCAATACATATTTTTCAATTTCACCATCACTTATTAGTCAGGTAAGTTGACTTGTCCCTTGCAATCACACATAGAGACTCTTCAAAATAGTAAATTTGCAGGGGATTTATTCTTTAGACTTGCCAAGCTCCATGAAAGGTTCTGTTTGATACTCACATTTAAGAATGTAGCTAAACATTTTCACTGAATTCACTCTTTTTGGACTACTTAATGTTTAAGAAAATCTCCTAGATACTCCTAAGAATGTAGTAAGTAGAACACACTCTTTTGTTAACAGAAAAGGAAACAGGAAATAATGGAAAGAAAAAAAAATTTCCCTAAACAATAAAAAAGCAAAGAAATGTAATGTGAAACAAGAATAGATGCTATAAGAAAGCTAGACATAGAGGTAAATACAAAAAGCTGCAAAAGTTCAGAGGAAGAAAAATGTTTGGGGAGAGCATTTCATTAGGACACAGTTCTGAAGTCTACACTGAGTTTAGACTTTATTTGGAAGATACCATGAAGACAAATCCATCAACCTTTACCTAAAAGCAACTCATGCTCATATGTCAGGTTAATATTAACAGCAGCTCAGGTAATGTCAGGTAGGCACTAATGTGGGAGAAAGAAGTCATGCAAGAACAAAGGATGCACGAAAATTCAAGATCATTATAGGAGCAATGATGAGAGTCTCTATGCAAGGCGGAAAAATCACTTTTTCTCAATGGTCTGAAAAAAAAAGCATGCTGGCAGTAGTAATAATTGTTATGACATGAGCAGCCTGACTTGAGCATACCTTTATGAACCAGAGTTGTAGTATTTTGCTTTCTCAAGGATAAAGGAACAGTTCTAATTGTCTATTCTTTAAAAACATCATGCAATGATCATATTATTTTGGGACATAATAAAGTGAGGCTCATTTTGACATTTTTAAATTCTTTCAGAGTCTTATCCCTTTTATCCATATGACATAACCTTGTGCAAAAGCTAAAAATTTTCTTCTCTGCTAAATCTATGGAGGGTGGAAATGAGTTCAGAGTAAGTTAGAGTGATTTGCTCAAGGAAACAGCAAGACAGTAATGGCAGTGGCATTGGAATATAGATGTGTTAATTCCTAGTCAAGCTTAGCCCTACAGTAAATAATAAGACTGTTAAGATAGTTTTCCATCACAAAATAACTAAATTGAGATACAGGGGATGCATTAATGACAATTAGAAGGAAAATTTTCAGTATTGTTTGCATTTTTTTCATTGGCATAGTTATTAATTTTCACTACATATAATGTATAATTGGTCATTTCAGAAATAAAGTGTAAGCATAACTAAATAATAGTGAAAATACATATTGAAAAATATGGTAAAAATATTGAAAAATAGCGAAAATCCATTATTGTAGATTTTCAGACCCACATAATTTTGTTTACCTCAAATGGAAGAATTACTGATGACATTGGGTGTCAACCAATGATGTCAATCAATCAACAAACATTTATTCAGTGCCTGACATGCTAAAAAGTGAGGACACACAGAACAAACACATTAACAAACTTAGAAGATGAGAAATGTGCATAGAAACAAATTATGAATACATGACAATATATGATATAACATGTAATGTACTTAAAAAACGAAATTCTGTGGGATGGAGGAAGAAGAGATGACTATGGATTGAAGTACAAAGTCAAGAACCAGCACAGTAAAGTTCACTATCACCAGTAGTAGCACAGAGCTATAAACTCTGTTTTCAAAGCTTCCTTAAAGCCCCAAATCAGCAATTAGGAACTCCATTTGCACTATGCTTCCTTGTTTCTATCTTTTAAGTCTTCAAATTTCTCTTTTTTACATTTTGTGTGCCTCAGTGTGGGCTTTATGTCTAGCTATAATTTATATTCTCTGACCATGAAGAATCAAATTGGTGTTACATCTATGGACATACTTATAAATGATGGAAAGAGGACACCAGCTGCTTTGGATGCCAGGACTCTTTAAATAATTCACAGTACGTTGGCTTGGAGGAAAATCTTCACAACAAATGGGTTCCTTGACATTTAAAATAAATCTCATATACTAACACTAGAAAACATAGAGACAACAGCTTTAACGGGATTTTCTTTTTTTCCAAGTAAACATTTTGGTATCAAAAAACTAAACACAGTTAAATTTCAATAATAAAAATGAGAGCACATAAGGATAAACTGATTCAACCTCCTGTAATATCCAGGATTCAGCAGTCTGTGTATAAATGAACACTGATGTGCAATATTTAGGTGTCTTTCAGTACGATCATCTGAATTACTTACTGGAGGCACAAGGAGAAGGGCAAGGGAACATTTCATGCAGTGTGCCTGGTGATGATATGAGTCATGCTACTGCATAAATGATCAAGTGCATATACAGGAATTAGGAGTGTAGACCCTAATCACCCCAGAACCTCCCATCCCCTCTGAAATGCATTAAGTCCAACTCTCTGGTCTAAAGCTCTGCCTAAACGTCCATTTCCTAAGCATCACTGGACTGATATGGAAGCTTAGAGTCTACATAAATCTAAATTAATCCTGAGCTGTAATCCCAGGATGGTTGATATGCCACCTAGGAGTTTCAGCAACACGTTTTATAAGTATTCAGAAGCCACAAATCCCGGTTTACCTGCCTATCACCCTTGCTCCTATTAACAGGTACACACACACACACACACACACACACACACACAAATTGATTTTTCAAAATAAAACTTCGCTGCTACTTTGGATGTCTGTGATACCATGAAGGTCTATGGAAAGGCTCCCTCCCAGCTTCAGAAATAAAGCTGGCCTCTGAGTCCTCCAGCCACTTGTTGGCATGTGCATTTCTGCCCAATTTTCCCCAGGCTTTGTGCTCAGTCCTATGTCCTCTCTTGGAAAAAGGCTTGAAACTTATATCGAGATACAATGATATAATGCAATTTACATTTTATAAGACCTGGAGTTTAAAAAAGGGAGAGAATAGAATGGAATCATAATAGGACATCTCAGAGATCTATTCTTGGGTATACTATCTTCTCCAAATCACACTGCAAGTGGCATATAAAATGCACAGTTTGGTCATCTATAAGGCAGAGGCAGGAATTCGGTCTTTTATTCTACTAAACTTTTGTCTCTAATTCTATACTTTGATTCAATTTCTATTTAGGAAGTCCTTATAATCACTTGCTACTAAGTGCTTCACTTATGCCTGAAAGACTGTAGAATTTTGGCGAATAATCAGTCATGCAACTCTTGAGCACTTAAGAGTCATCCAGTTCAGCAGTCAGTCAGTCACCAGGTAGTTATTAAGAGCCTTCTATGAGTGAGGTGTTGAACCAATACTTTCTACCATTGGTCATAACATTGACGGAACAGGAGGTGACTCACTGGACAGATGAAGGAATTTTTAGTTTTGTTTAAACTGTCTTATCATAAAGTAGTTATTTTTTATTAGCTGAGCTGACCCTATTGACAACTCCATGGATAGCCCCATGGATAGATSCAGCTCTAGACTCTGATAGTGACCAACTAAGGGAGTTTGGGCAACATGCTTAACAAATATTCAAAGCCAGACAAATCCTAGTTTACCTGCCTGTCACCCTTTCTTCCCTCAATAGTCTTTTCTATAAATTGATTTTCAAAGTAACAACATCTGCACATTTGAAATTATCATGTGCGACTGGACAATCTTTCCTTTATTGCAACAATTGGAAAGATCTGTATAATGTGTAGAGCTGTGAGAGTGACATTCCAAGGATGTTTATAAAGGAGTAATCACAACCTTGTCTACTAGTTTCTGTTGCTCACCAAAGGATGATTGAAAGTCAAAGCAAGAGGCAGTAAAACATAGTGCATCTTTCAGAGTTAAGAGCTGAAAAGGAATATGTGGATTAGTGATATTTTAAAGACTTTGTCTGAAATCTTTAGTTCACTTTCCTCTGCACTTGACTAATTTGTGCCTAATTTCTTGTTTAGAAATTATTTCCTGCTCAGTATTTGGCTGTTAAAGAACTAGCTGTCTCTCCGTTTACTAATTCAGTAGATGGAAACTTTCTCCTAGATTCTATCATCATCACCACCACAATTAATATCTTTGTCATCATTATTATAATCATCATCATCATCATTTTTCTCTCTGGTTATTATGAAGATTAATGATATGTGCCTCAGTGCAACTTAATTTAGTTGTTAAAAGACTCTTAGTAAAACATTTTAACTTATTGAGATAACAAATTATGTCATTTACTTTTGGGGATTTTTGTGTTATTTCTTTGATCATTTCCTATACTTTATGTTTTCTTTTTTCAGATTTCTGCTTAGCCAGATATTGGACTTTGTAAGTCAACCCTCCAATTTCTTTTCTTTTCTCTCTGATTGCTCCCTTGTTTTTCTATTATTCTTTCTGGAACACTGCCTCCATCATTATTTTCTAATACTTATACAGAATTGTGCAATTTTAGATACCAAGCTTTTAATTCTCAACAGG